AATCGTTTCCCTGATTTGCAGGTGTAACTTATATAAATATTGATAGCTCATTTATACCAAGCGTCTCAGCACAAATGAGTCAGCACAACTATACTAAACCTTCCGACCTGGCTCACACATTCTGAAACATTATAAATGTGTTTCCCCCACTATGACATAACAGGCATTATTCCAAACTTAGAGCTGTCTTCTTATTTATCATCTGTGCCTTATGTTATAGAGACCTGTAATTAAAGCACCTCCTGATGCATATACAGCCTCATCTCTTTCGTGGATTTCACGTGCTGACATGTCTAACATCAGTCAACTTTGCAGTTGTACCACATCCCAAAGGTGTCTGGAGAGGCCACTGAACTCACTGTGATGTCTCATAAAGCCACTTTAAGGCCACTTTTACTTGACGTAGCCATTGGAAAATGTAAAGTTGTTGCCGCCTCCATCTCATAGTGATATTTAAACCATGATTAACCTTTTAAAACCCCAGGGACTTTCTGAGGCTCCTGCTTGAAAATGTCACGCCCAAAATGATTTGATTAGTTCTCTACAATTACAAACTCTGTGTAAACCATCTTGATATGAAAATAAAGCTTACACTTGTGAGAATTACTTTTAGGTGTAACCATCACAGCAAATGCCATTGTGTCAAAGGTACTGAGAATGGAACAAAGAAAAGTATGAAGAAGTCTTTCCTGGACTCATTTTTTGTGTCTCTTATAGCACATAACCCCTGTGAAAATCTGTTGCAGTAGACCAAAAACTAAAGAAAGCCATGAATCAGCGTATAGACAAAGATGGACGCTGCTGAAGTGACACGGAGCAAAGTTACAGAGGTTTTATTGGAAGCATAGCTAAGCTTTTCGCAATTTGGCACCATCTACGAAAACTTAAATTTCTTAGGTGTTGAATAGAAGAAATTAGGCTTTTATTGTCAGAGGTCTTTTCTGCAAAACAAAGAAATAAAAACACGGACAGCCGCAAAGCGTGGTGTGTATTGCATCTGTGTGTAAACAAGCGAATAAGACAAAATAGCGATTCATGATGGGAAGCTGCTCTCGAAGCACACTGGGAGATGGAAGTGTGCGGCAGGAGCGGTTTTATCGTGGTGGAATTTTTAGAAGCAAGGGAGCAAAGGTAATTGTGTGTTTAGTTTAGTGTGGTAAATCTTGTTTGGAGTGTGATGAAACTTGGAGTTTTGGAAGCTGTGAGATCTGCAGAGACGTTGCTTGTCCGCGTACATGCTGGCAGGTGACTCGACACTTTGCGTTTACGTCTTTTCGTGCCATCTTTGATTGTTTGTCGTTTGAGCTGTGTTTGGCAGTCATAGAAATAATTTTGGGAGCTTTTAGCTGAGATTCTGAAGTTTCTGTCGATACCACACATGTCTATATTTAAACAACAGACCAGGCGGCACAGCCTGTGAAACCAGATGTTCCGCCTGTGTCCCCAGGAATTAGAGTTCAACAAGTTAAAGGACCAAAAATATCTGGGTGCTGGTGAGTAATCTAGAACCAGTACTATACATTTCTGATCAAAAAAGCCACAAAAGCCACAAACTGAGAGGCATCATAACAGCTTCATACCAGCACCGGTGTCCTAATGGTTCAAGAGAGGCAAAAATGTGCCAAGAAACCATCCCCATATGACTACACCGCTACCAGCAGCCTGTACAGTTGACACACTTTTGATGCCAAATTGTAACTCTACCATCTGTGTTCCTCAGCAGAAACCAAGACACATCAGACCAGGCTACACCCTCCCCCACCCCCAATCTTCAGCAGCTCAGTTTTGGTGAGTCCACTTCAGCCTCACATTTCTGGTGTTGGCTGACAAAAGTGGATCCTCATTTAGTCTTTTGATGCTGTACTCCATCTACCCTCAAGGTTGGGCATGATGTGAATTCTGAGATGACTCTGAGAGTGTTATCAGAGTTACTGAAGTCTTCCTGAAAGCTTGAATGTGTCTGGTTTGTCTCTGCAAGATGTCTCACCTGGAAAAAGTATTTTCTTTCAGAGGGATCCTCCAGTAACGAATGCACCAGCTCCACAAAGTTCACCTCCGATTCCTCCACGTGGTTGATGGTTACCTGATATAAACACACACACGGAAAAAAAAAGAGGAATATATTCTTACAGCTTGTGAAGATCAGAAGTCCAGTATCTCAAATAGTTAAAATACTTCCTAAAATACATCTCAAAACTATTTCCTGTGGATTTAAACGCTAAGTAGGATCCTAGTCGAGGTTCCTTTACCACATCAGTGGCACTGCTGAGGTGACATTGAAGCCCAGGTTGCTTTGAAAGCAGCCTTCAGTTCGTCTGTATTTTTGGGTCGGGTGTTTCTCACCTTCCTCTTCCGCTAATAGATTCTCTGCGGGGTTCCCGTCAGCCAAGTTATCTGACCAATCAAGTACAGGAATAACATAGTTTGCAAACCATGTAATAGTCACAGTAGGCAGTGGGTAAGTCCTGCTGAAAAAGTAGATTGGCATGAGCTTCACAGCAGGTGAACGCAGACATGCTGTAACATCACCAACCAACACCAGCGGATGAATTGGCACCCTGATATCCTCACAGGCAGCAGGAACTTCACACAACACTTCAAACATTTTAGATTTTGTGACTCTCCACTCTTTCCTCTAAGATCTTGATTTCCAGATGAAATGCCCGGGAAATAATACGGACACCGACCCCAGTCCGCTCTTTCCTCAAATTCTTTGAATCAACTTTTACTGACAATCCTCTCAAAGCTGCGCCCTGTTGTCCATGCACAGTTTCCCACCGCACTATTCCCTTGCAGCAAACTTTCAGTTAATGTGCTTCGATACAGAACTCTGAGAACAGGCAGCCTTTTCAGCAGTGACCTTCTGTGGATTAACCTCCTTGTGAAGGGTGTCGATGATCGTCATCTGGACAACTGTCAAGTCAGCAGAGTGAACTGGTATTTATACTGATTTATAATCAATTCTTTTAAAATATGGCCATAATTATCTAAACAAACACAATTATTTTACTACGTATAATGAATCTTGAATATATGAAAGTTTTATTTTAATTAAATAGCAACCCCCCCCCAACATTTTTTTGATGCTATTTTTTTTTTTTTATGTTGTAGTATTATAATTCCTTCTTGTTTTTTTTCTTGATGAGGAAAAACCCCCCCCAACACATGGAGGAGTTTTTTTTGCTTCGTATGTGTTTTGTAGTTTGTCCTCGTAGTGCTCTTTTTTTCCGCTGTTGTTTTTTTTGCTGCTGTTGTTTTCTTTGGTGGTGCTTGTTGGTAGTGCTGGGGGGTTTTTTTCTTTTGTGCTGTTGTTGCTTGATGTTCTTCTTCTCTGGTTGCTGCTCTCGTCGCCTCTTCTGCAGCAGCTGGTTGTTCACCACAATCATCTGTTTTTTTTTGATTACAGCTTTAGCTTCCTCTCAGTATGACCAAAACGTAAACACTACTGACCCTGGCCCTGAGTCCCAGGATGAGCTGAGCCCTCTGACTGTAGCTCATCAGCTCTGGGACCAGCTCCGTCACCATGGTAACAAACTCTTCCAGCATCCCGTAGTGATCCACGAGTCCCTGCTGCACAACTCGCCACACTCCAGCTGATAAAAGCTGCAAGGGTGGGGCCAGGAGCCGAAGATAACGGAGGGGAAGGTCATTACCTGAAGAGGAGGAGAGAAGAAGTAAAACCACAACAGAGACAAATGTCTTATTGTTTTGTTACAGGCCTACAACACTGCGTGTCCTACAGCAGCAGCGATTTATATCAAGGTGGCTTCACACTTTGTGAGAACTTCTTAGGTAATCAGCAAGCAGGTCAAGCTTTACAGAAGATTTTAGAAAGCTTTTTCATTCCTTTTCTTATCTGAATGTCCGCCTCGCAATGATCTTTCGCTCCTAACTTTCAAGAAAGTCCCTAAATCACATCTGTTATGTTGTATTTCTTTGTGATGTGAGCCTGTCTGCCTGAAAAGAGGAAGTAATCTCAGTAAATCCGCTTAGAAAGACAAAAAACAAAATCAAAACAAAAGGGAAACTACCTCAGAATAAGTGCAAACAAGCTGCGACAGCCTTTCTTTGAGGATCCTGAGTGAACAGCATCCACCTGACGCTTTATATGCTGGCACAGGAAGCATAAGTTAATTTGACGTGTAGTGGCAAAGTGCTGCGTAAAATAATGACATGACAGCGCTGCTCCGAGGTGCATTGACAGCGGCATCCATCAAACTCCCCCACAAACTCACAACACGGATTACACGACTTATTGCTGACCTTTATAATGCAGGATGCACAAGCTATTGGATTTCTGGCAGAGGTAATACGGCTAGTAAGTAAAAAATAATGCTCTGATAGCACAGATGTTTAGCCCAAACCACTGACGGAGTGAAGGAAAACAACCTTCACTTTCTAATGAGATCAACTGTGGATTAAGTGAGTCCTTCTCCAAATACTGCAGGAATATCAACAGAGAACAGAAGCAGGCAATCGCCGTTATCGTTGAGGTCACTGTAAAAATCATTGTTACCAACACAAAGATCGGGGATCATATAAGATAAGATACCGTGATTTTTTTTCCCCTTTTTTATTCTGATACACGCACCTCGGTTGCTTCCACTTTCAGCTCCGCGTTTTATTTCCATTTCGCAGCTGACAGAAAAAAATGGCCAGTTGTCCCCCTCGGGTTGTAGCTATCGGGAAAAAAATGTATGTATAAAGCCTAATGAATGAATTCTGCAAATGTTTGATTAATAAAATGACCATCTGCGATCGCCAAGCAGCAAAATACGAGCGCAGTGTTGTTGGAGGTATGAACGTTCTCTAGGTTTTACTCGGTACTGGGAGGAAAAGGCAGAACAAAGGTTTCTGGTCTCATCCGCCTCAGTCCAGATCACGGCAAGCCCTCTTTCCTGGTTGGTTGATGAAGACCGGATCGACCAGGAAATTTTGATTTCATAACACTAGATGGCGCCAGACCGCCATCAGGTCCGACCAGGTTTTCCTCTGGCTCAGTGTTGTGTTTGTTTCTATGGAGGGATGCTGTCAGGGCCGTAACCAGAGCGTAGACTTTACTGAGGCCCGCAATTTCTACTGCTGGATAGCATGTAAGCCTATTCGCCTATAACTGATCACATGGCTGATCACAGTTTCATGCTCATCTCTGCCTGTCTGAACAACTCCACGTTTCCCCTCTCTGTTTTCAGATCAGCTGCACTGACTTCTCATATTCTTCAAGCTGCTGGACCCCCTGCAGCTTGCTTACCAGGAGAAGGTGGGTGTGGAAGATGCCGTTCCTTTTGTGCTGCACATCTGGTGCTGTGAGGATCACGTATTTTCTATTTCAACAATATCCAACCACTCCTACTGAGAGACAAACTGACTGAGGTGGAGTGGACCCAGACCTCTTCTGAAACAGTGACCAGCACAGGACACAGTGTGCTCTCCTGCCTCTTTCACCTTGTACTCTTCAGACTTCAAATACAAATCACAGTCATGGAGAAGGTTCAGATGGGCAAAGAAATGTCATGGTCCATGGTTGATCACGCCTCTTAGTATCTTTAGCGTAAGTTTCTTTCAGTTAATGTTTTTATTCTGTTTAGTTTCTTCCTATTTCCTTAGTCTTTCCTCCGTGCCCATCTGTGTCAAGCTTGTATGTTTAGTTTTCAGTTTTACTTTCTCTGGTCTCATTTACCACTGTGCATTGTTTCTCAGCTCTGATCACTTCCAGTTCAGTAGTTATTCTTTGTCAGTGTCAGTGTTTTTCTGCGCTGTCATGTTTCCAGTTAGTTTTCTGTCTGTTTTCCTGCTCTTTTGTTACCCTTCGGACAGTTTCTTCGTTTGGGGATCCTCTTTCACAACTCATGACGAGCATCCCCGGACCATCGCGCTACAACCACCATGTTTGATTGTTGGTGTAATGTTCCTTTAATGAAACGCTGTGTTAGTTTTATGTAACAGGACTCAAAAGTTCCAAAAAGTTCAACTTTTGTCTCGTCGTTCCACAGGTTATTTTCCGCAAAAGTCTTGGGGATCATCAGGAAGTCTTTTAGCAAATATGAGATCAGCCTCTGTGTTATTTTGATCAGAAGTGTCTTCTCTTCAGCTACCTCTCCTCCTTCAGAATTACAGCATCCACTTCTGGCTGCTTTGTTTGAACATTAAGAGAATTGACACAAAGCCAAAACAAAACTGGGAGCTAGCCAGAAGCTGTACACAAACAGTACCAGAGCTGCAGTGCTGGAGCAAATCTGCCTTTTTTAATAATAAAGTTACTTATGTCCTTTTTTCATATTAAATCTATATGTGATTTTTTCCATCACCATGATCTCTTCAACCAGCAACCCAAGTCTATAGCTCAGTGTTTCAGTCCTTAGCAAGTTTTTAGTTACATTTTTCTTTGCCTTTGCCAGAGGAATCTTAAACAGGTCTTTTGGATGCACGTGTCCTTGCACACGATCGTGAAATCGTATAACTAAAGATTCCACTCTTGAACTTTATCTGTTTACTTTTAATTTGAGGTCTTACAAAATACTCAACCTGGTTCTTTCAGCTAAATTGCATCCGTTTCAGTGATTGCAGTGCCTTGTTGCTGACAGGGCAATGTTGCATTGATATCATACTGCATCTCTTCTGGGATTTCTTCTTCCAGCCACCGTTCCCATTTTATTTGTTTACATATAAAGTCGAATATTCTCTAGAGTCTATCAAACTACAGTACATAGTAGACACAACTCTGGGAACTGCCTATGATAAGATAATGCACATGTCTTTATAATAGGATGTATTTTATCCTCATTTGTCTTGTATCTGTATCTGTAAATATCTAAAGAAATCCTGGTTTGTAAGATCATATGTGATTTTCATATCTTGAAAACTCTGCCTTTGACCCTTTCTAGTAAGTGTACACATGGCGGTAATACCTTTTCCCACAAACTGTTTAAAGCTGGCGTCAAACATCCCCGGTTTGAATTCATCTTCATGGGTGATCCATCTTAGAAGTCCAAGTCCTTATCCAAATTACAACTGCTTTACAACTGAGTACCATTTATCTAAAGTAAACATTATTATTAGAGGCTTTATAGTCTCGGGCCTCAGTCTCACCAGTACTGGCATGGATCTGTTTTTTTAAGGGCTTGAGTATCTTTCCTCAAAGCAACATCAGTAATATAACACTAATCAGAATCAGCATACTTTATTAATTCCTAGGGAAACTATATAGGTTACAGTTGCTCCTGTACCTTAATATTAACAAAAACAGACTAAACTATTTAACAATACAATATGTTAAGTTATAAGGAACAGCACAATATATACAAATCACCAAATAATAAATATCCAGGTTTGACAGATGTGATTATAAATAAAAAAAAATTGACAGCAGCATTACCGAGTAAGAAAGAGTGTGTGCAAAAAGAATGCAACTATTTCAGTGTTTACAGTGTTTAGATGGAGGAGTTTTTTAGTAATCTCAGTCTCTCACTGAACGTGCTCCTGTGGCTAGCCAGTAAGTCATGGAGTGTGTGGGAGGTATTATCCAACATTGTCTTTATCTTGGACAAGATTCGCTTCTCCGACACCACCTTAACCTCTTAAGCCCCAAGCCTACCTGATCTACTGCTTTTTGCCCCCGTATCAGGGGGCGTTGGGGCTTAAGAGGTTAAGAGAGTCCAGCTCCATACCCAAAACATTACTGGCCTTGCGGATCAGTTTATTGTGTCTGTATAGACATACAGAGTCCTTATCCCAATTACTGTAGAGACATGCAGACTCAGACTCAACATACAGACATACATAATAGACAAGTTGTTGTAGTTGAGCTTGAAAATACTCTTATATTTGGAAGTACCATCCATCCATTTTCTTCCTATTATCCGGGGCGGGGTCATGGGGTTTGCAGCCTAAGCAGAGAAGCCCAAACCTCCCTATCCCCAGCCACCTCCTCTAGCCACCGCCGACCTCTGAGATGCTCCTCATGTAATCTCTCCAGAGCGTCTTTGGTCTGCCCCGAGGCCTCTTCCCGGTCAGACATGCCCAGAACATCTCACCCAGGCTCAGAAGTACCATTAGATCTTTATTTTTAGGTAGTTGTAATATTGTGTGACAGATCCTAGGTCTCTTTATATCCCATATACATCTAGAAATGAGCTTATCTCATCTATAGAAATTGAATTGGTGTTATATCTGCTGGCACTGATTAAAATAGACATAGTAATAAATAACTAGAGATAAATTAACAAACAAAGAAACAATAGTAGATGTGGCATATATCCAGCTTTATTACAGTTAATTCTAACATTGAACGATGGTTTAACCACCCTTTGGGATTAAAAGTCTTTTCTTATGTTGGTATCAATATAGTCATGATTGCTTTGGTATAGTTTTGACAGATTTATTTTTTTTAGTTACATTCATTTATTTGAGAGCTTTATCTTCTTTTGATCTGTTAAAGGGCTGGGTACTTGCTAAATATATCTAATATTTGGATCAACTGAGTACAGGGGTAAAGAAATCATAACACTGTCTATGAATGAGCTTATGGTGTGTATTTGATTGTTATCTGCTATCCCAGTTATGAGTTTACTTTGCTGGATCATTTGGGCAAGTTGTTCAATATCCAGAGAAACAG